ATTAGTTTATTTATTAAAATATACTTACAACATTTGCAAAATATCTTTATAATACCAATTAGCATATTACAATTTTCACAATTCATTCTAACTACTAAATATGATAATATACTTATAGTACAAGTAATCTGTATAGTATACTAACTCAATCTTGTAATTTTGAACTTGTTTAATCCTTAGTCTATACTTACTAAATACTCTGGCACAACAATTAACTAACTAATCAAGTATTGTAAAAGCCTCAGCCAAACTAAAACTTTTACAAACTGTGCAAACATCTATGCAATTGAATAGCTTACTAATTATACAAATACAAAACTATTCACCGGTACTAATTATTTTACAAAACTCAAAAATTATATCAAAACAGCTACCAAAATAGTTTTTGGAGATTTACAATATACTATTAAAACTTATCATACTATATATTTTAACTATAAGTTCTAATCTATTTACTACAAATAATATCCCAATACGAAAAAGTTAGATACTTAAAAAGTTTCAAAATATACTAATTATAAAAAAGGTTTTCAAAACCAAGCTACCAAGAAACGATATACAGATTACACACTGGTTATTTTTAGCCTTAAATATTGTCTTTGGTTAATAGAACTCTTTAGTTACTAACAATCTAGCTCAAAAATAAGCACTTCTCCAACTATCAACAACCTCAATGTTTTGCTGCTTCGACTTGGGTGAGTATTTTACTTATTTACTTTTAATGACTTTTATTTTTGCAAATACTAAAATTATTTATTAACTTTATTTTGCTTGTACCTTTAAATACAAATTTTAACTATTGCTAATTACATAATTATCGATCACTTTATTTTGACTTTTTAATTATTCATTTCTAATTATGCTATTGTCTATAAACTCTATTATGATATTATTCATGCACTATATATTAATCTTGCATATTGTCTTCTTGAATAATTGATAACTGATTCTGATTCTGGTTAATAGTCATGTGGACACGTGACTATATAACAATTGACTGATTTAAAACTACTCACGTACCAAGTATATCAAATACTAGTTTTTACCTGATACGAGCTAGACCCTAGAACTTCATCTCTGAAGTTTTCACTTTAGCAACATTCTAATAATCTAATACAAACATATATACTTCCATCTTAACAACCATCTGTATACAATTCACATGAATTTAAATATACTAATAAATACTATTTTCATGTATAATTTATCTTCTTACTTCAGTATTTCCGTCTATACTACCAACTATTGCATAATTGTATTTTACTTCAGTATTCTTATAACTGACTGTTAGTTAATTATATTTTACTTTGGTATTTATATCAACTGCCCATAATTGATCTCATATCTACAATTTTGCTCAATTAGCATATAAATTATATGAGTCATGTACTTATAATAATTTATTCAAACCTTTTTAAAGACAAATATCAATCCTTCATCTATCAATTTTTTTTTTGTCACATTTTCTATATCATAAGTATTATATTATAGCATCCCAGATATTACTTAATACTTTTCCTTGATCAAATATATATGTTGTCAACAACATATTGCATTCATTACCTATTTGTTTTTGACTATTCACTTTGCCACAGCATAAAGTATTCTATTTACTTTGACCGACTCATTTCTCAAGATCCTTGTCACTATAAAGCTTCAGAGTACTCAACATTTCAGCTTTGGCATCTTCATGTTGACAACTCAAACTATTTAACTTTATAAAACCTTTCACATAGTCCATAGCTTTTAATATTTTAATTAATACATGCATCTAATTTAATTGATCCATGGACACAACCCTTACTCTAACGGTTTTCTCACATTTTTTACCAAATCTAGAATTATTTATTTCATTTTCATAGCAATTTTTGGAATCATTTGCTTTATAATTCTGTTTAGATAAGTCTTCAGATTTCTCATACTCTTTTATCATCGTTTATCGAACTAACCTTTACATTCTTTCTTTCAATTTTGTTTATTTCTACTTCATTACTCATTTTATTGATTACCTGTTCATTTGTATTATCTATTTCTCATTTATTACTATTTGCTTTCTTTCTCATCACCTCATCTTTATCAACATTTAAATACCATTCAAATAGGTTGCAAACAGGTACTTCAGATTTTCATTCATCTTTTTCAATGACTAGTCCATTCTGGTAATATTGTCCAATGCTATACGTTTTAGCAAAGTCTTCCATCTCTGCAGATTTTTGGTAATATTCTAATGCTTGAACTCCATCATTTCTATCTTCTTCCACATCAAGGCTTTTGAGTAAGATTTCTACTTTCAATTCATTCATATTTGTTTTATCTTTTTTATCAACTGTTTTTCTATCTACACTAACTGTCTTTTTCTCTAACTTTTTACTTTCTCTGCAAAATCATCACAATGTTTATTGTCTCAGAACAATTCAAATAAACTTGTCACACAACTTGGTGCATCAGGCTTCAGATCTTTGTTAGATTCTTTATTTTCATCCTTACCAATATTTTTTTTTCTCTATACTATTATCCAAACACCACCATACTAAGTCCATTT